AATTCTAGTATTTTTTATTTATTATGAAAGATTTAAATTAAACCTAAATTAAATTCTAAATCAATTTATGTACAGTTTTTAACTTATGAAAATAAGATAATAGTATTATGATAAAAGGGAAATAAAAAGAATTAACCATAAAACCTAAATTCTACATTTTTTGATTTTTATTAAAAAGGAATTCAAATTAAAACCTAATTAAACTAACTAATTTATATTCTAATTTATTTATGAAAATAATTATAATATAAATGTTTTTATTGGTTTTTTGACTTCTTTCTGATTTTTTTGAATGTTTTTGTATTTTGTTAAAAAAAAGAAAATTAATTAATTAAAGCAACAAAAATAAATAATACAATAATTAAAATAATAAAAAAAGAAAAGAAAAGCAAACCAGAGTGGGGTGTTGCCCCAAATAAGGAGGTTCAGGCCTGGAGATTCTGGCCCACTAAGCCTTGATTTCGCTGACCTTCCTTGATCTTGTATGACACGTTGACCAGCCTCCATGGTATGCCTTTAATCTGGCCCTTGATTAGATCTCCTGGGACGCGTGGGCGATGAATATTGAGTGTGCATGGTGTACCCCCATAATAGCGCTGCATATGAACAATTATTGAAAAATAATGTTGAACGTTTGCCAGACCTGGGACTTGAACCCAGGTCTTGAAGATTACAAGCGTAGCGTGTTACCACTGAGCCAAGTGCGTTTCAACTAACAAATAATAAACAATAAATAATATAAAAAGAAAACGCCAATGACTTTGGAATTTCGCGCGAAATTTAAATGGATCAATCGTTGCTTGACACGCCATCTTCTTCCTCACCACCCCTGTAACATAGAACACTATGGGAACGGTTTTTGAAGCGTTGTTTTAGAGGGGATTCAAGAAAATAGCGAATAGCCCTCCTTGATACATAAATCCATCGCGAGGTATGTTTCTCGTTCATGGGAACACGCTGAGTTCAACCATGGTGGTTTCAAAGGCCAATTTTACTGTATTGACAAAGCCCCAATTTTTTCTTCTGAAAACCCTAAAGAACAAACATGGTAACTTGGCCAAAAACGCATGAAACTTCAATCAAAAGTTATGGTTAGCTTGCAAATTTCATATTGAACAAGAATTCATGAATAAAAATATACAATGATGCGTAAATTATGATATGCGATTTGGAAATTTTTGCTTCACAGTTTGAGGTCGTGATACCGTTTCAGGGCGTTTCAATGGATGTTCTTGGTTGGAATTTGATCAGGAGTGCCTGAGGATGCTAATGGAATGAGAGTTGATGCTTGAATCGACCTAAAACCTTAATTTCAGTTTTCAGTTTTAAGGCAATTTTCTCAAGTTTGTATATTGGGTTTTTGCGCAGCTTGCAGTCTTCTTTGCTTAGGGTTGTGATTCTGAGTATATAGCCAAGCTTTTAGGTTAAGAATATTACACAAAATCCATGGCAATAATTGTTTTCAATCTTTGATTTGTTAAGGATCTTTTACAATCTTTTTTCATGGTTTTTGTGTTCAATCAGCTCAAATCTTATCAAAACTTGCCATAATCAATCAAGCACGAAATATTGAGATTAGAATGTGCATAAAAGGATTTTTTTAGGTTAGGTTTATATTTTTCATGTATTTAAAATGATTTAAATGAATATAAATTAATATAAATTCAAATAAATAATTAAAAAATATGAAAATACTTCCCTTTGGGCCTAATGGTCGTGCATAGGCTTGGCATGAAGAAACTTGGAAGAAAAATGGGCCCATTTGCATTTTTAGGCCTTTTGCATCAATGTTGACTTTCAAAAATTTCCAAAAATTTCCCAACTTACACAAGGCATAACTTGGTCAATTTTCAAGCTTTTCACATGTTCTTGGACATTTTGGAAAGGTCTTTGAGTCCTTTAACCAATGCCTTTGGTCCCATGTCATTTTGATTTACCAATCTCAAGTTATGGCCTTTGACTTAAAGTCCCTTTTTGTTGACTTTTGAAAATGACCTATAATGTTGAAATTGATAACTTTTTGTGAGAGCATTTCTTGGACTTGGAATATGAAGATGAATTGTAGGAAATGTCTTTCTCTTCAAAATGAGCTTTGGATGGAATTTTTCTGATAATCCATGTGAAAGTTATGCCCTGGTCAATTTCAGTTGACTTTTTCAGCTGTCCAAATATAGCAACTTTTGCATCTTTGATGATTTCTGAGCCAAATTTTGAGAATCATGATCAAGCATTGATCAAATGATGTTTGTGGCTTCAAAATGATATGTTGACCAAAAATTTGAACTTTTGACTGTCAAATGACCATTTTGCCCCTACAGTTGACTGTAGTGCAATCTAGGGTTTTGACTGTGCAATTTTGAGCTGAATGCCTTGAAACTTGACATGAGGATACTTGACCATCTTTGTAGGCATATGGGACTTGATTGGGCCTTTGAAAAGTTCATTTGCTTGACCAGAACCCAAACCCTAGTTTTGACTGTGTAGGAGACAGTTGAGCTGCATAGTCCTTGGGGAATTTTGTGACCTTGACTTGGCAATTTCTTGATGAATATGGGAGGGCAAATTTTGGGGTACAACACATGGTGAATGCCGGGTCTTTTGTAAAATCCTCTTGAGACGATTTCTCCTTATCAACCAGATAGCTTGGGGCATGTTAGAAGTGAAGCTATTCGCAAGAATTGTCGTGCAACATGCAACTCATCAGAAGTAAACTTGGGGCATCCAAAATTGGTCCCAGGGGCAATCTAGATTTGTCAAGATATGTGATATGTATTGCACACATTATCAGAGGGTGGTGTTCCCAGTATCTCCAGCTAAGCATGACTTTTTCCAGCTGAAGCATTATTCGTGTTGTTATCCTTTCAATGGATTGTCGATAATAGAAGACTGGACTTTGGGTTTTCTACCTGAAAATATCTTCCTCTCCAAAGAGATTTAAGCCTTGTAAAAGGACTTTGCTCCAATGATGGCTTTTGTTTTCTATCTCCAGTAATGTTACCATCATGATGAGATTAGCCGAGTGTCGAGTTGTACTGTGATGTCTTATCATTTTCTGTCCATCTCCCCTGTCTGTTTTGTCAGCATATACTTGACATTCATTTATTCATTCACACTTACATCATGCATGCACAGTTGTATTTGTTGATGTCTTTGAGTACATATACCTTGGTTATGTCTATTCAAATAGCGTATTTGATCTTTCCAAATAGAATGTCAACTTAAGCAGAAAGTGCGCCTCCTTTCTAATTCCCCACTGAGTTAACTCTCGTGGAAGAATCTGGCTTTAGCTTTCCTTTTCCATCTCTGGATAGGATAAATCCCCATTTGAGTTGTTTCCTCATTGGGTGGAGTCTTGTTTGACCGTTTTTTCTCTCCAGTTTATTCCTGGATTGAGCTTTGTCTCTTGTGAATGATACCCTGTGGATATCTCTAGGCTGTGAAACCTAGATGGAGAGTGCATTTATTTTGCAATGTAAATACTTGGTCTTCTCAGGAAGAATCCATTCATGGTTTCCCATTGAAGATGAACTTTATTCCCTAGTAGTATCACAACCTTCTTCTGGAATATCGACATGACAACAAGCGACTGACTCTTTATTTGAGCAGTTTGATTATTTCTGATTTCACTACGACAAATGGCGGTCTCTTCATGAGCAGTTTGTCCATCCTCGATGAAATTATTGATTCTCACCTCCAGCAATATCTTCATGATATTTTATGGGTATCTTTGAGAAAACAGCAAGCGGCAGTCTCTTTCATGGACAACTTGTATGTTATCAACATTTTTAAAAAAAACAGCAAGCGGCAGTCTCTTCATGGACAACTTGTATGTTATCAACACTTTTTGAAAACGGCAAGTGGCCGCTTCTTCATGAGCAGCTTGTACGTTAGTATTTTTGGAAGACAGCAAGTGACAGCTTATCTATTTGAGCAACTTGTATGTTATCGTTACCTTTAAAAAAACAGCAAGCGGCAGTCTCTTCACGAGGCAACTTGTATATTATTGACACCTCGGAAAAACGGCAAGTGGCAGCTTCTTCATGAGCAGCTTGTACGTTAGTATTTTTGGAAGACAGCAAGTGGCAGCTTATCTATTTGAGCAACTTGTATGTTATCGTTACCTTTAAAAAAAATAGCAAGCGGCAGTCTCTTCACGAGTGGATAATTAAACCCTGTAACTACATATAATAATGAAAACATGTCTTACCTTTCTGGTATAACCAGCCTTCTCAATGACATCGATTAGTAAAACACGTC